TGCAGTCCCATGGTAGTCGGTGGCCAACAATTGGTTCATACGCCGTTTGTCTCTTCAGGGTTCTGGGGCCTATGTGCACCAGTGGTTTGGAATCAGGGTTTTCCAACTCCCTTAGGTGGACTTTCCATGTCCATCAACCCGGTTAAAGCGCCGGACATTCGCTTTTCGTCCTCTTAATTTCGTAAACAACACTGACGCCGCGAGACGGCAGTGAGGACTTACCCTGGAAGTGGCTGTATACGCGTAGCCACTTGATAATATTTCGAGAGGGAGAGGTGACTCTCCTCACCCTCGGCTGTACTAGGGCATTTTGGGGGCAGTGGTTGAAAGTCGACTATTATACTCTAAAACATGAAGTTTTCAGTTTTTCAAATGAATGAAGTACTATTTGAAAAACATACATACTATCAACTGAAATTTATATAGTATACAGTCTAAACATAGAATGAGTAGATGAATAGCTGATTTGGATATATAATTGCATTATTAAGTGGATTTTTTGAAACATTTATTTACAAGGAACACAAAAATGTAAAACACAGTAGATTATCCATTAAAAAAAACTTGTAAATCACAATGCATCAACAAAGTGAACTCCATAGAATATATATGTTTAATCAACACTATTTTTTACGGTATGTAGGAAAAGAATTTAAACAAAAGCTATCTTTCAAAATACCATTAAGATAAAGATTTATGCATATATATATATATATATATATATATATATATATAATTGTTTATCCAAGTGAATGCTGGAAACAGTATTCAGCGAACTTTTAAAATCGTTAAACATTAATTACATCAAGAAATAATATACCTAAAATGCAATTTTGAAAGAATTAATTAACTAACCTCATTTCACGGAGCCGCTGAACATGTTTACTTAGTTCAGCGACTGTAAAATCAACTTCCTCTTCAGTGGTGAATCGTCCGATACCAAATCGAATGCTAGAATGTGCTAAATCCTCTTCAGTCCCTATTGCTCTTAAAACATAAGATGGCTCTAGTGAAGCGGATGTACATGCACTAAAATGAAATTTATATAATGTAAGATTACAGATCAAAGTATACCAATAGATAAAATCAATAGTTCTTAAAAAATCGATTAACATATCTAACCAATCTCCTAACACATCGGTGATTTTCACTACAATAAAAATATTCATAATAAATAGGTGATTATAATCCCCTTCCTAATGATCTGATTTATATGCTGGATTTTAGACATTCAATTTCCAACGCTGGGTCATAAGTCTGATTCCTTTACAACTAAATCAGTTCGAGATGCTGAGTAGTATTATTGAACCTCTCCTATTCTGGGATTAGCCGTGACAACTTCGTCTCTTTCTGTTAATGACGTGGTATGAAAGAACGCTGCAAAGGGCTGGCTTCTGTTGGTCCTTCACGACTCCCTGGTTGGGGTCCGAGAGATGGAGCGACACAGTGGCTAGAGACGTTATCAGATATGGCTCAGAATAGAAACCAGTGGCGATCCTGCTGTAACCTTCTTTTACTTTCTTCATAAAAAGTGGTTGTATCTTCCTTAACTGAAAGATCTCTTCTAATTGAACCTTTCCATTTCCCCCATTATTATTATTACTACGCTATCTTACATTAATCTGTTCGTTATTGTTCTTTTTTTACGCTCCGCCCTTTTTTCCTTGTTTTCAAATTCTCATTGTTTTGTGTGGCGCATATATATTTGGTGCCCTCTTGTACCAATATTTATTTGTAATAAATAAAAAATAAAATCTGTTAATGAGGTGAGGCAACGTGAACCAATGTACATGTGTACTAAATTCCAGGTTGTGACTGACTGATTAAGCTCAGTAATTCGAACTTCTCGCTACCGTTGTACTTCACTTTAAACAGACCAAAGTCAACGTTTAATCTAGAACAAGGACTTAGTACAATCTGACGATTTGGGAACACTTCAACTGCGTGCGACACCAAGAAAAACTGATCATTTGTATTGCAGCGAATGATGCGATGAGGCAATCAGCAATCGCCATAATGATAAATTCACATGATTGGGCAGTGAATATTATTTTTGCGAGGGATGAAAGACAAACTGCTGATAGCTTTAATTTCTTATATATAGTACAAATTAGAAAAACGCTGTAGGAGAAAATCGCATTCGAACGCCATGACTATTATAGATTTTATTTATTTGTTTGAACATATAAATATCGGTACAAAGGGGCACCGAATACATACACGCCACACAAGTCACTTCATTTGTGTGTGGACTGTGATACTGCCCGGGTGCCCAGACCGAAGTAGGTGGTTTTCTTAGAGGACCACATCCCGAGCCTTTGACCTAAAGGTCTGACCCACAAGGCAGTGGAGCAATATAAGGAGATGCAGTCCCATGGTAGTCGGTGGCCAACAATTGGTTCATACGCCGTTTGTCTCTTCAGGGTTCTGGGGCCTATGTGCACCAGTGGTTTGGAATCAGGGTTTTCCAACTCCCTTAGGTGGACTTTCCATGTCCATCAACCCGGTTAAAGCGCCGGACATTCGCTTTTCGTCCTCTTAATTTCGTAAACAACACTGACGCCGCGAGACGGCAGTGAGGACTTACCCTGGCAGTGGCTGTATAGCCATGGCCATGTGAGAGCATTTTGAGACGAATAGCGGACTCTACCCCTCCTCGGCCGTACCAGAGCGTTTGGCAGCCTTGTACATAATTACAAATTAACAATAAATAAAAGTACTGATATGACAGGATGAAAAGACAGAACTACATTCTTTTACTGATTGTGACTTCTTGTTCAACATTACTTCCGTTTTTTCGATACAATGTGATAATTTTGGTGGAGTTTTGTTTTCTGAGCTGGATGGTTTGGTCGTGGAGCTTTCATCGTTTTTCTGAACGACATCATCAGCACAAACTTCAGATAGAAGTGAAGTTTTTGAATTTCTCCATATGTGTCTCAAAGCTTGTTCTGTGCACCTCGATGTTGATTGGTTCTTATTGACCTTAAATTTGTCGTTGTTTACTTCTTTGTTTTGGTTGTGTCTCCGATTGTTTTGATTTTTGTTCTTATGTTTGTGCATGATTTTTCTGATTGGTTGATAAATTGGATTGATTTCAATATGCCTGTTGATTGCTGATTGACCTGAGTGCCAGGCTTCTAAAAATTCTCTGGTGTTTTTGGAGTTTCCTCTGTCTAAGATTTCCACATTTTTCCAATCGAATGAGTGTCCGCAGTTGTCCACGTGTACTGATATAAGTGAAGAGATATCATGCCGTTTGACTGCTAATTGATGTTCATGTAGGCGAAGGTGAAGGGGGCGTCCGCTTTGGTCGAGACACATATGGAGAAATTCAAACACTTCACTTCTATCTGAAGTTTGTGCTGATTATGTCGTTCAGAAGAACGATGAAAGCTCCACGACCAAACCATCCAGCTCAGAGAACAAAACTCCACCAAAATCATCCACCTGAGCTACAAATCTTCTCCATCATCTCAAATGTGATAATTACTCAGTGTCGTATTTATTTTTTTCCAATGTGATATTTTATTCGGTATTAAATTAGCATGAACTATGCTTGGTATGACACGAAACATGTGATTTGTTATAACCCTGGGTGTTTTTCATATGCGATTTAACATTTCTAGAGCTAGAAGTTAGGGTATTTCCGGACTACGGTACCATGATTTGCAGAATAAATTATCGAGCTACTCCTAATAAGTTCATTAATTATTAGAACTCAATCTATAGTACCTTCATCATTTCCCTATAATTTGAAGCTCTTCTATTAACGCTCCATCCTGATTGGCTATTTTTGATTTAATTTCTTAGCCGATATATATATATATATATATATATATATATATATATATATATATATATATATACTTTGGGTGAGACAGTTATTCACCGTAGACAATGAAGGATTGAGCAAGATCATGAATCGATTGAAGTTAGACATTAACACCGTTGGATACCAACTCAGTGGTCTAGAGGTTACGTGTTTACGCGTGAGACCAAAGGTCCTGGGTTCGAATATCGCGTGTGGGACGGTGGATGCGCACTGCTCACGAGTCCTATACTAGGAGCAAACGGCTGTCCAGTACTTCCAGGTTTCCACTGGTGGTCTAGCTTAGATCGACTTGTGAATCCTACTGTTAAAATATTTTCGACTGATTAACATCAAGGTCATCGCTAAAGTCGCTCTAAGTCTACTGAAATATAACACAGATAAATGTCACACGTAGAAGTTATTAGTAAAACAGTTCCGTTTTTAACTTCTGGATTTCAATAAACTTATGCAATAAACTTTGAGATATATTTATTGAATGAGAGGAGACTGACAATAAAAAGGCAATATGGCACTTTAGTTTCAAATTTATAACCCATAATCTTCAGAATTCAACGCTCAAACCACCTAAACTACAGCGTCACAAAACCACTGCTAAATGGTGTGCGTTCAAAGCATTATGGGAGCGGAAAGTTTACTTATGTATTGATTACTGAGCTATCCATACATTTTTCTGGAGTCATTTATCTATGGTGATATAAGCTTAAACCCAGTACCCACAAGCACAAGTTTGCCTTGGAGACTAAAACATTAAACTACTAGTGATTGTAACAACTTTAACTTTTTTAGGCAGAATTCTAGAGAAATTGGTAAGCGGCCTAATACTTGGAACTATTATAATACAAGGGGTTAAAATATCTTTATATTTTATTCAATTAAAACAATTACTTTAGAAGTAAATACATAAACACTAAGTTAGGCTTATTTCTCTTAGTGATTTTGTATATATCATACACCAAAAAGCAAATATGATTTGAAAACGACTGCAAAAAATTTACAATCACCTGCCGGATGATAGAGCGACATTCTTTAAAGCCATGAGTAAGCTTTCACCCTCTACGCAAGCAAAACTAAAGTTTACACAGCCTGGATAACGTTGAATTGGATCACCATTGAGGGTAACATGTGGAATTTTGGAAGTGATACCATCGATTAAACGTTTACTTAACATGGAAACATGTTCATAATCATCCTGTATTGATTTGTAAAAGCAAGCACAACTTTGTATCAGTGAATTTATGTTTTGAAAAAATGATGGATATCCGAAAAGACAGGTTTTAGTTACTAATAACACAGTACAAAAAAGGTTAGTAAGTGAAAAACAGATAAAAAGTTGAATAGATAATTACTATGGACGGAAATGTTTTCAAAAGCTGTACATAAAATTGTGTTTGTTAATATAGTTGAGTTGACTTATCCTCGTCTACTTACATTGTTCATTTCAGACATAAGAAAATACTATTGAGAAAAAGTAGAAATTATCCAGTTCTGCCACTGAACTAATTATTCAGGTGGAAGATGGGTAAAATTAAGCAAAAGTGAACATTAATATGTCGCTCTGATACATTCGTAAATGTTCTTCCGGAAATAGAGCATTTTTTAGTCAGAGTAGGACAAGTTATCTAAAGATTTAACTAATATTAGATTCCAAAGTCCATTCAATAGAGAGTATTCTTCACATGACATGAACAGTGCTACTTATATCGCATGCAATTAATATTAACGTTTTTAATCCTAAAAACAATTTCATATTATTATCTTTAAAGTTTCCCTAATGTTTTATTACTATGAGTTCATGTGACTCTAAACAAAGTTATACACTTACAATCCCATGGGATAAAAATAAAAATACCAAATGAGTACATCATATTTGCTGCGATCCATAATAATATGAATTATCACACAGAAAATAAAATTGACCTATCCACACTGCATAATTGTACAGCTTATACAGCACAGAAGAAACCAATTACGACCAGAAACATGTCAGATTACTGCATTAGTGATACTTTAGAAAGACTCAAAGTCAACTGGACTACATATTATGACCAGTCGAGAATAAGTGTTATTTACCTGGATGAACGATATGAAATACAATAAGTGGAAAGACATAATATTGTAGTACTAGCTTGAGGCTTACAATGTACATAAGACAGTCCGTTGGGATTGCCAATGCGTACTTTATGATACTGTGCTGGTTAACAGAGTTGCGCACATTATAATATGCGCAAGCAACAACTTCTGATCAAGTCATAATACTGAAATTAGTTATCGATGGTGAGATTGCGAGCAGGGATGAAGACTCTTTTGGGATATATATTCCACTATTCTAACTTCGACCAAGTATGTAATGAACATATTTCATGTTTCTGCTAATAATAAAGGGAATATTGTGAAGGTAGAACTTTGGGGACTCCTATAAAGGACTATCGTTTATGTTTTTATTGCATGATTATTAGACGCTTGGATGATAGTACTTAATATTATCCTGGTTGTAAGCTTTTATGTGGCACATCAGTTATAGTCCTTTGTTTACCTTACTAAATTTATGGTGAAATAATTATGGACCTAATACTTAGTTCTATTGCACTTAAGGGGTAGTTATGCACATATTGTGCTTCCTTATTTATGCTGATCTGCAGTGAAAATTAATGCATGCTATCACGCTACTTTGAGCTATGAATCGAACTCTACAGTGATTTATCTACCTTGTTCTATTCTAGCTATCGGGTAAGTGAGCATAGAAAACAGTATCCTAGACCAATAAGCGTTAATTATTCATCTCGGTTGTTATCTCACTGTCATTGAGGAAATAGTCGAAGAAAGATCATTGTGTCGATGACTAACAAGTAATTAGTCCTATAAAGGCAATCTAGGTGAATAAATCAATAATCGGACTAGAGAATACAACTGCACAAAACAATGTTTTGTGTGGCGCATACATATTTGGCGCATTCTTGTACCAATATTTATGTGTTCAAATAAATAATAAATAAATAAAATACAACTGCTCCTACAATAGATGGCCCGAATGCACGAGCCCCAATACAACACAAGAAGCTGTCTTTCGGCTTCACATTAGTTCCGATAGTCAAACACTTAAATTCTCCTAAAAAACAGTGGTGGAGACTTCGCAACGGTCAAAAACACTGATGTTAAAAAAAGTTGTATCTATTTATTGTAAGAATATAACACAATTCTCATCCACTAGCGGAAAGACTCATGTCAGTGAAAAATACGAAATTAATAACACTCTAACTATCATTCTTTGAAAATCTACACAGAGCAAAATGAAACAATTTAAAAGACATCTTAACTGTCCTATGTTATGACGAATTTTGATCAATCTATCCATGTGCTCACTATCCAGTGAATTTCGATATCTATAACGAATCGAAAGTTTGGAAGGAACATCAACTACTAAAATCCCCCAAAAACATATGATTTAAATAGCATTCAGATAATTTAGAAGATATGGCAAACTGTATTAGGTTATTCTAAAGTGAGACGACTATCGTGTAAATTTCCAAAAAACAGCTTAGAAAATAAAGGTGATAGACACTAAAGTAATTTTTTGATAGATGAGTCCAAAATTGTGTCTCTTATTGCACTTCCCAGTGTGCTGGACGCAACAAAAACTGATTCGCAGGAAATGGACTGGTTTTTGTTCAGGTTGTGGGTTTATTGAACACTTTTCACACTCCATCAAACCCTTAACCACTTTGGATATTTCAAGCTGACAATCACTGTTTTCCGGATGACATGACTGGTCTTGAATAGTTGGACACGGCCGTGGTTGGGAGCTATCTTAAAGAGGGGTGTCTGAAAATCTCATTAATACTTCGAAAGTCATTTACAAAAGTATCTCAGTGTTAGTGTTAGGTAGAATTACATGAAATTGTATCACCAATACTAGGGTGACTTACGTTAATCATGATAAATTAACTGAGTGACAGAAACCTTTAAAAGGTATTGGAAAAACTGATATTGAAAAGCAAGATCTCAGCCTAATAAAAGAAACAAAATGAATAACACTAATGATAAGTTATTCATGTCTTTAGATGACAAGAAGTAAATAGTAATCTTTTTGAAATCTTACTTTCATTTCCTCACTGGCCAAACGGCTTGCTTCACCTAAGCCAACAACTAAAGCCGTAGGAAGAGTACCAGATCTTAGCCCACGTTCCTGTCCACCTCCATTTTGCTGAGCTTCTAATCGAACCCTGGGTCGACGACGTACGTAGAGAGCACCAATCCCCTGAGGACCATATATCTTGTGACCACTAATGGACATGAGATCAATCTGAAAGGAGTTCCACAAAAATATATCCTTAAATTTATCACATCACAACAATGTAATGCATATGAAAAGTAATAAACCATTACACAGTGATATTTACGCTCACAAAATTAAGTGATTACTGAATATTAATGCATACAGTGCAAGCATGTCAGAAGAAACCTCGTTAAATTCAAATGAGTTGGGAAAATCCTGGGGTTTGGTAGTTAACTTCATAATTTATAGCTAGAATGAACTTCATACATTGACTAAGTGACGATATTGATAATATGAAAAATCCAAGTAAGACACTTAAATAATCGTTTGGACTGTAGCACCAATGCTTATAAAATATTCTAAGTTAGACAGGTCATAATACCGCTTGGTGGACAGTCAATTTTTGAAAATCACATCTATTAAATACTAAACCGTTTTAGTTTTTCAACACAAAAAATGCCTCTTAGCAAGTTTTATTGTGAGGATAAGAAAACGGTTTGATCTTTGTACAAGGTAGCTAAATAACTGACCTATCAGGATGGTAAACACTTAGTGTGGAAGATGTAATCAAATCTACTTTACAGTAGACTACAGGACGTCTAATTGTATAAGCTAGTTGTTAAAATTTCCAGTGTGCTAAATAGTAACAAAAGTGATTGTAATCAATGATATTACAGATCCAGCTATTAAACAAATATAAAGAGTTTGGGATAACACACATACTGATGGAGTTTCCGTCAATCTTAAAACCAGGGTCATTATGTATGGATGACTAATCATATTATTAGGCTCAAAACGAGACAAGTAGTTAACGAGAGGCAGTATAAAATATCTGGGGAATATTTAGAAAAACCAACCAAGTATAGCTTGATCTTTTGTAAGAAACTAGTTTACGATGAAATGTAATTACATTCTGTAAAGAAACACTGTCTCAATTCAGACTACTGTGAATTACATGAATGACAATAAATAAATTTATAACTGTAAAACGTAGGTTGCCATTCAGCAACACATTAGTGATTACCAAAACTCATATTATTGTCATCAAAGGGGAAATTTAAGGAGTGACACTGCAGACATTTTGTGAGTAATTACAGACATCCGCATAAATATTTCAATAGAGTCTACAAACTGGCTGATGAATTCGCCACAACGAATTGAATTGATACACCAAATCACCGTGTATTCATATTAGTGAGTATGCCTTTCTTCTAAGAACGACAATGTATCTAAATTCATACTTCATTATGAAAAGTTCTTGTCGGACTAACTAGAAAACTACCAGACAACCTGAAGCATTTCTAGGGATAATATAGCTTACTAGTTCGAACATAAACTTACTAACCATAAAAAAACTCTTCAATGGCCCAACCTCGCAATCTGGACACTTCGAGGGCACATAAAACTCACTACTTTTCAAATGACTACATGCTCCACGGATACGGAAAGTACCGTCAGGCTAGGGATAACAACAGAAACTGCAATCCTTCATTCCTAAGTCCAGAAAAGTGGCAAACTGACTTTTAAAAATCATCTATTAAGTAATTAAAAACGAAAACGATGGCTAGCAGAAACTACTTTAGTCATGAATACCAGCTTATGTCAGAATGAACCGTCATGATTTTTGATTGGGTGTAGTCAGAATCGTCAAATAAAAAAGGAAACCAAAACATTTCGCATCTGTGCCTCAAAAGCAGTAATGGTGAGATAAAAACCTACATTCATAGCATTGACGTCAATTGGCACTTTTCCGAAAGCTTGTGCAGCATCAGTATGGAAGAAAACCCCTTTACTTCGACATAGTCTTCCGATTTCTTCGATGGGCTGAAGGACACCTATCTCATTATTAACAGCTATGACAGAGACTAAACTCGTTTCGGGCTTAACAGACCGTTCCAGAACCTATAATAGATCATAAAAAAGAACGTTAGTACCTCCAAATCTAGAATTCCGTTTTTCTGAACAGGTAAATACGTAACATCAAACCCGTTGTTTTCCAAAACTCTACAGGAATCCAAGACACATTTATGCTCCTAAAATACAAATAAAATTACTCTCTAATTCATTACGATTTGTGTAGTTATAATATGCTTCTTCTTTGGGTGGTAAAACTTAGCAACACCTTTTACAGCTAGGTTGTTACTTTCTGTCGCACCACTGGTGAAAATGATTTCTTTATGGTCAGCACCTATCTGATTGGCTACGTTCTGAAAGATTTTAAGAAGTTAGAAATGGAAAGTACCTCTCTAGCTTTCTCAACGGCTTCTTCGCAATACCAACCATACTCATGTGTGCGTGAATGAGGGTTACCAAAGTGACTGATATAAAACGGCAACATGGCATCTAAGACGCGAGGATCCTTTATTCAACAGTGAATCGCAACACAAAATTTACCAGTTGTGTAGACGCTTGAAAATCAAAATATAAAGGGCGTATAGGTTTACAACTTCTTGATTTACTCCCATCTTCTACCAAGACTAGGAAAACAGTGAGAGCATTAAAAACCGGTTACGTTCTGCCTCAGCACAAAACTCTCGGAATATATAAACAGCTCTCCGACAAGCCAACCGAGAAAACACACACAACCTCCCGATCATCACGAACCACTTTGAACCGTTAGGTTAACCTTCAGAATCTAAAGATAGTCCATTTAAAAAGTGTAGGTAAGTCTCTATCTCTTTAAAATAAGTCACACTATGGGAATTCTTCAGACATCTTGCGACAATAACAAAAATTTAACTAAATGAACTCCTGTGACCAGTTGGTACGAGGTCCATCAGTCGACTGAACTGAGTTTACGTTGTATACTTTTACTGTAGATGAGTGTTAGTGAAAGTGAGCCAATGTAGTTAGAGACCGTGTGATGTTAGTATGAACTAATGATCATTTTGTATTTGAGTCCGCCCTGGCTTTTAATTTCGAATACAAGACGTTCATACAAAGTACAGAAACCAAGATATCAAAACCGTTTTTGAAAATATTTGTTTATTAAGGCAATGACAATTTATACCTTTCATATATTCCTGTTTAGCCACTGGACAAAACAAACCAGTTCATCTAAAGTGTAAAAGAAGTTGAGTGTGATATTTTACAACGTTGCAGTGGTACATTTTTGACATGAATATCAAATTCAATAGGAAATCATATATTTTTATGATTGTCCCAATCATATAAAAGAATTTCGAAACAGAAGACGCTTAAAATTCAGTGCACGTAGGACAGAAGTGGTGTGCTTACGCATCAGCGAGCTTAGTAAAATTATCCAGATAAAATGGTATGATGACTCACTAGTTTATAATGACGTCATTTTTACAGCCGAACATCCATGGAACGGGTGAACAATAAAAAGCCTACACATAAACGAACCTTGTTTTCTCGTATCAGCAAACTGAGTCTCAATGCCTGTTAAAGTGGCGAATAATAGACCCCCATTCTAATTCATCCAGAAATTCAAACAACAATCATTAGCTCTCATGCGATGATATTTTTATGCATGGGGGTCCTTATTCCGTGGAATTTGGGTTGCTGACTTTATGAATAACCGTTTTACTCAATGTTGCATACATTTTGTGATTTGTATCACTTAGATTTCACCTGATATCTTTCGTAAAATATTCAGTCAACACATTTTACGCAGAGACGACGAAATCGGAAATATCCATTTTTGATGTAAGTAAATACATTATGAGTGTAATGAGGCAGCTTGCAACGAAATATAATCTGTAATTGATTTAAAGACCATATCACGTGTATATAGATGCATTCTTGTGGACCACGACAACTGAATCGATAAACCATATTTGTTTTTAAAGCATAATTTGACTCAGTAAATAAAAACAGCTAAGACAATCTCGAACAGGGTAAAACTGCAACGTAAATAACACACCTAACAGTTACTAGATGATAAACAGTGAATAAAAGTGTAACGTAGTTCGTGACAAACCTGAAGGATTATAATTGATGAATGAACAAAACATAGTCGTACAAGGTCAAAGAGATTCAGTGTGGTGGTGTGTGCGTAATATTGCCATCGGCGGGTTAAGTTTTTGATCAAGCTCCGTAGACTGGGATAAGCAAAAAGGGAAACCAATACATCCGACCACTTACAATCATCAGGCTGAGTGATTACTCACATTAAATTTATTCTGTTTGATCTCACCATGGTTTGTCCAGCGATACAGGTTGCTGCTATACTAAGTATACCTGGATCAAGACATTCGAATACCTTCACTTTAAAGTTATTGCGCTTACGATATGGGTTTCACGCGGCCAAACGGACAAAATATTGCTTAATATCCTCTTACAACTGTTTTTGTTTACACAGTATCGACCTCCGATCAATGAACGTACAATTTATGGACTTACTAGTCAAATGTAATACAAACTATACATTATTATTATTATTCACAGACATCTTATGGGTACATAAGTGTTGTGAAGAAACCATTTAGGGTTTCTTCAAAAAATGCAATAATACAGTATTTTCAATAATGTCAGCATTATACTTGCCATTTTAAAAAACATTTAGAGCAATAATAGTAGAATATTAATAATAATGAATCGGGTCTGTGCAACTGAGAAGAATATTGAATTGAGTTTAAAGAAGGAAATGAAGAAAACAAGGGAATAGCAATAAAGGAGACGTGAAATACACAAACAGTCTAATAGGCGTGTTTACGAACACAGAACAAGAATAAACGACTGTGTGTATCGTTAAATTAGTAACAAAAAATAACTAAGAAAAGATAACTTATAATTGCAGTAAGATATGACGCTAGAATAAATGTTTGTGCAGTTATAGTTTAAAGTGATGCTATGAAAGTTATAATTAAATGAAAAGGATAATAAAATATCAATATTTATGAGACATATATGCATAGTGAAGATAAAACGGGTCTGAGAAGTTAATTTAAGTGTAACACAAGTTATTGTCTTAATTACAAACTTCGTAATCTTAAAAATAATATTTATTTAGAGGGAAAGAAGAGAGAAAAGAAGTGAACACTTAATGAAAAGTTTTGATCCATGATAAGAATAATAATTGTGTAATGAATACCAACCTCACAAGGAAACCAGAAATTGAAAAAATAAAATAAAAATCCGTTGAAGCACTCGGATGAATACATTTAGATTTATGTAATAGTATACAGAGTGAAACCGGATATTAGTATAAATATTTGTGCAATAATAATTAAGATTGATGCTATGAAAGTCAAAATTGATTCCAAAAAACAATCTGGAGTTAAATATGTTTAGAAGGATAAGAAGATATAAAAATAATATCTAATGTGTCGGGGAACTAATAATGATATTAATAACGGAAATAATGATAAACACGAACATAAGCAGATTTCATATATTAAGATAAATAGAAATAAAATAAAATAGACGTGGAAAGATTTAAAGGTTTTATTTTGCTTTTCAAGCAATTTAATAGATGACGGACCTTGTTTGTATAAATCCTTATTGAATACATTGATATTCAATAGGTGACATAATCCACTTTCGGAAAGAAAATCGTTAAGGAGACTTCTGAACCGGGTTGTAGTTTCACTGCAACGGAGGTTCACTGGCAGTCTGTTAATAAGCCGGTAGATAAAGACGAGATTTAATTTGATACCTCTGTTCCATACAGGCTCTAATTTGAGTTGTTGACATCTTTGGTGATAGTCTTTGTTATCGGGATACCCAAGACGGCTTTTATGAACCTGCTCTGAACACCTTCAGTTTTAATCAGGCCATTATGCCTGCAATTACTGTAAACTAAAGTACCATATTCAAGAATGGGTAAGATACATTTTCTGCATAACAATAATCTCGATTCGATATTATTGAAGTTTATCATTATGAATCCGATGAGCTTTCTAGCTTTGGATACTTGATATATGATGTGTTCAGAAAAGTTCAGACTATTGCTATATCTTAAACCGAAGTCACGAACAGTGTTGAGAGGTTTGAGTGTATGTGTGTGTACAGTCAGATTTAAGTTAAGACAGCGACCAATGTAAATAAATCCACTTTTCAATGGTTAAGATCATGAGTCAGTTGAAGCTAGATCACCATGAAAAACCTGGAAGCACTGGACGGCCGGTTCTTCCTATTGTGGGACTCCTCAACAGTGCGCATCCATGACCTCGCCCCCTGCGAGATTCGAACCCAGGACCTACTGGTTTCGCGCCCGAGCACTTAACCACTAGACCACTGAGCCGGCATCCAACGGTGTTAATGTCTAACTTCAACTAATCCACGAAATTGAGAGACACATTCACCATTGTCTTCAGTGAGTTACTACCTCACAACAGACCTGGTTGAACTCCACTGGTCACTACTTCTCACTAGAACTCCAGGATATACCTCGTGAAGCCAGTCAGTAGTGAGCATATTCTCGATTAATATCAAATGGGTTTTTGTGGGGATTGTAGTAATTTCAATGGTTGAGATCACGAGTCAGTTGAAGCTAGATCACCATGGAAAACCTGGAAGCACTTGACGGCCGTTTCGTCTTATTGTGGGACTCCTCAACAGTGCGCATCCACGACCCCTCCTCGCGGGATTTGAACCCACATTAAGTGGCATATTCCACGAAACAGTCCATTCGTATAACTTGTTTATTTCCTCTTGGATTGCCGCTGAAATATAGCTTTCTTTTGTGGGAGAAGAGAATGAATAAACTACTTTCAGGTCATCAGCAAAAATGAAAGGCTTGCCATACTGAAAATGGTAACACATCATTGATAAAAAGGAGAAAGAGCAGTGGGCCAACCACACTTCCTTGTATAACCCCACTGGTTACATTCACAGGTTTAGAGCAGCAAGATCCAAAGCGAGCGATTTGGCTACATTCTGCTAAAAAAGATTTGAGCCAAGATAAAAGGGGATTCTGTGTGCCAAATGAAGAGAGTTTTAAAAAAAGAAGTTTGTGTGAGACACTGTCGAAAGCCTTACTAAAATCGAAGTAAAGAGTTATCACCGACTGACCAACATCTCTTTTCTGGGTAATTTGACCAAAAAACTCCAGGTGCGATGTGAGACATGAGCGTTTAGTCATAAACCCGTGTTGGGATGAGCTGATCAGACTAGCCGAAAGTAAAAATGATAATAGCTGTTTGTGGATGATTTTTTCCATGGTTCTTGAGAGCACGGATGTCAAATTAATTAGCCTATAGTTAACAATATCACTACGTGATCCTGTTTTGAATCTAGGGGTGATAAGAGATGTTTTCCATACAGATGGATAGGTCCCATATTCCATAGATAAATTGAAAAGTTTCAAACAAAATAGTGGAAATTCTCTACTTCCATATTTCACAAATGATGAAGGTATCCCGTCAGGTCCACCATCATAAGACTTTTTGAGGGCAGCTATGGCCTGCTTGATGTTGGGGGGGTGTAAAATCAATTTTCGACAGATGTCTGGATGTAATGATGGAGTTTTCAGTTCCAGTTTTGTAGCACTGCGAGAAGTGGTATGCTGAATTGTTCGCATATAGTATTCGTGTTACAGTTTTGAAAGCTCAATCACTGGCAGGAAATGCATAAATTTCAAACCATGAAGTAAAATCCTTAAATTAGTAGTTAAATATGGTCCTGTAAGCAACTGGATGAGCAAACGATTTTGTAGGTTATACTATATTTACATGACAA